ATAGGGCCCTGAGGGCCTCGTCGAGCCTGCCTTCACTTAGGGCGGCCGACTTACTTCAAAATGGGGCCATAAGGGGGCTCATAGAGGCATTGGCCTCGCACACGCATGGATAGTATGATATCCTTTTTTTCCCTCAAGAACCTCATTCATCTAGTTCCATCTGGATGGTAACTCAGGTCTGTATTTCAACAGTTCATAGCATACTTGCAGCGCATAGATGAAGAGCGCTACGCTGCGCAGATGCGCAAAAAAAAAAAAAAAGGAAGAAGAAGGAGGACAAAAGGCAAAAAGGATGTAGGTAGGATAGAATCGAAGAAGAGAAGTGAGAGTGTGCTGGGACATGTCAGCGGGTCGGGGGACGGAGGGTGGAAAAGGACACGTCAGCGGGGGGAGATGAATGCGTCAGTGGAATCGGGGAAGGAATGTGGAAAAGGAAGTTGACATGATAAGGGGCAGAACAGGTAAGGATACGAGGAGGTTGGGAACGGAGAGAAGAGAGAAGCTAGTGGAAGGGTGGAGGTAGAAACAAAAGAGGACAAAAGGCAAAAAGGATGTAGGTAGGATAGAACCGAAGAAGAGAAGTGCCAGAGGTGAATCGGCAGCAGGACCAGGGAAGGGGCGTTGCAAAGGGAGCCGAGCTAACACGAGAAGGGAAAGTAATGATATGAGTTTTCCATCGGGGGTAGGGAAACGAGAGTGACACTTGGTGGACACGTCAGCGTGGAGAGGGAATAAGTAAGCCGAGGACAGGGGAATCATGGAGTAGAGGTCCATGGTGTGTTCTTATGTGCAAGCAGCTCAGAGGGGAATGACAAAGGGAGACAAGAGGAAGACGGCCAAAGCAGCAAGGGAGAGCATGGCCTCCCAAGGCACCTCAATTTCGGGGGCAGATTTGGGTCAACCCAGGGCACTAGGACACCGGGCCATTGACTTTTTGATTGAGAACCAAAATAACAGCACCAATCAAGATTACGAAGGAAACTCATAAGAGTCAGGATGGCAAGGAAGAAGAAGTTGATGTGTGGGAGTATCCAGAGCAAGACATTCCTTCGTTACATGAGCTATACGAGCGACACGCAGTGCTGTTTAATTTTGCAGGTAAAAGCAGGGATATGCCATTGAACGAGAAGAGGCAATGGGTGATGGAACGTTTAAGAGGATTGGAGAGTATTCCGGGGGTAGAACCGGAGGTATCATATCACAAGAGGGGAAAGTTCACTGTGATGATTGTATGTGTAGACCCTTCCTACGCTCAATATCTCCTATCTTTGGGATCGCTGAAATGCCAGGGAACAATTGTTACAATTCAGGCATGGAACCCCCCAAGACCCCCGCAAGCGGAAGCTTCTCAACGCAGGCAGAAAATGATGGAGCATTTCTGAGTCCGATTTGATAATCTCTCTGAAGGTATGCATAGTTTTGTACAAAAGAGATTGTCGGAGGAATACCCAAACAATGCGATCATCGATTGGCTGCCGGCAAATCCGGACTTTCTGGCGCCTAATCATGATTCAAGGGTGGCCTGTCTGGAGGTGAGTTCAGGAGCACCGCCCACGTTCTCGGAGGTTTGGATTTTTCACGAAAATGGGCAAAGGATCATGATTTTTGTTCCAACAAAGACAAATCCCTTCTGTTTTGAGTGTCGTGGAAGAGGACACCTGGGCATGCACTGTCCACACTCGGGAGCGGGGAGTAAACCAATCTAGTTGCGTCAATCGATGCTGGAAGAATCCGACAACAAGCCGGGGATATGGTACATAAACGCAACATAGTACAGGGGATGGATTTTTGACGATAACTTGGAGTTCCCTAGGTGGGTATGGGTGCTACAGGGGTCACCGGCCCTAAAGCCTGACATCTATCCCCCTTACAATAGCAGATGGAGGCAAAAGGGAGCCAAAAGAATGGAAGATAAGGACATAGGTTATTTGATAAAGCCTATGATTGACGAAACCATGCTATTGGATGATAAGCAAAGATTGAGAACAATGGAAGAGCTCAATCAGATTGGGAAGACAACAGAAGTTGCATATCTGGAAAACTTGAAAGCAAGGGAGGATGCACAAAGCGAAACACAGAACCACGACTAGGAGAACGGGTCTGAAGGTGGGGAATGTGGGGAAGGACAGGGTGGGTCAACTAAACAGAGCAGCACGGCTACCTCACTCAAAAGAAAGGCTAGGACAGAGGAGTTGAGCGAGTCGAAACAGAGTAAGCAAGGGGAACAGGGAACCAAGCGGGTGCAATCCAGAGGAATCAAGGTCACAAGGGATACCCAGCAGACGTCAGGGGGTCACGAGATGGAGACAGAACAGGGCGGGACAGGGGATTGCAGCCCCTTGGGGGCACAAATGGAGATTTCACAGCAAGGGGATAGTGGGCAGACTTCATCAAAGGAACAAGAAATGGGAGAAGCAACGGGCCAAGATGAGGGGGACACGGGCAACGGGACGGATTTTTCCGAAAGGAGATCAGCCAGTTCCGCTACGAAATCTAGAAGAGAAGAAGAAGGGGGGGAGGGAGAGGAGGAGGAGGATTCGGAGGAGAGTTCAAGTGAGGAAGGATGGGAGGATGAGGAGGAGGAAGAACCTGAGACACTGGAAACATGGGTCAAGTGCGTGCAGGCTCTGGAATGGGAGAGGACGATGAAATGTGAAGTTCGCTTGGCACGCCATAAACACTTGCGTAACTTGAAGGACGCCACGACATCAACGGAGGGCATCACTACCACAAATCGCTTTGAGATTTTGAAAAAGGAAAAGGAGATAAATGCGTTTTATGCGAAGCAATATGGGTGGAAAGCTCAACACCACAACAATGACATTCAGGTGCGAAAAGAGGTTTACAGTAAGCAGTTTGAATGGCCTCAGACTTACCTGCCAAAAGCAATGAAGAGATCTGAGAGCAAGCCGAAGGCGAGTTCTGCATCAACAGGAGAGGAAATGGGAGATGAAGAGCTAATAGAGGATGCACGCAGGCAAGCAGCGATCTTGGAGGATCAGATTAATGTCCTCAAAGACCAAAATCGTGAGTTGGGTGAAGATACAATGAATTTGGAAAAGATAACTTATGCACAACATAAAGAAATTGAAGCAGTGGCGATGCTATATGCCAGAAATTCACCCAGACGCAGGGTAATCATCCCCTTCAAGTGGAATGAAGTCCACAAGGATTGGGAGGTGGCAATCCATCGCTCGTTGGTGCTGGTCACGATAGATGAGGCCAACTGCTCTGGTCAGGCCCTGAAGGGTATGATCTCATAAGATCTGCCAGCCCACGCATATGCGATAGGGGATTGGAAGTAGGGAAAGGAGGAAAGTGCAGACACAGTGGGCACAATACAGACAGAAGATTACAGGCCGATAATGTTCAAGCTGCAGGAAACAGCGAAGTTGAGTGAGGGCCTAATATGGATGTCATGACGGGTGGTGGAGACCATTCCCTACGGACTGTTAGGGGGGTTGGTGGCGGCAGAGTGGGTGGCCAGAAGTGCGGCGTTAGTACTAAAAACTGATGCCTTTTCGTGGAAGCCAGAGTCCATTGAGAAGAGGATTGCAAGGGGAGCAACAAGGTTGGATCTATTAGAGACAGGGTCTTGAACACCTCTCAATGAAAGAAGGGTGGACAGGGGATGACAATTCGTAATGCAGGATATTGAAGGAGGCCAACAGGGGAAGCGTAGAAGAAAAGTTCAGGCACAGCCAAGGAAGGAGCCGGAGTTCAGAGTAGGCTCCCGGAATATAAACGGGCTGGTACAGATTTTGGACAACCCGAACAAGTGGAACAACTTTGTTCAGTATTTAGGATGGTTTGACCAGAGCCCACTAGACTTCGTGTGTCTACAAGAAACTCACCTGACCACTTCAGAAGAACATGAGCAAGTCAAGAATAGGATTTTACAAAGATTGAGATGGGTGGCAACAGATTTTTGGGCACCGGCACCACGCCCACATTCGGCGGGGGTGGCGATTCTTCAAAATAAGAGGCCATCTCAACGAAGAGTCTAAAGATAGAAGAAGTGAGAGTGGATTACAGGGAAGGTAGATGGGTGAAGTTGAACTTTCTTTTCCGAGAAGAGTGCTTCACTCTAGTATCTATCTAGGTCAATAGTAGAGGAAACACTACGTTATTTGGGAATTAGGTTAGCAGAAGCAGGGCCCCACCACTCAATGGCTCCAGAGATTTTAGCAAAATTTATGACGAAGCCAAGTGCTTGGGCAACAATTTATACTTCCTTGTTTGGAAGAGCGTCAATCCTAAACTCTTCCATTTTTTCGATGTTGTGGTATGTAGGTTCGATTTGGACACCGCCAGATCAGTCTATTAGTGAGTTAAGAAGAAGGTCAGCAGCTTTCCTATGGACAACAAACCCAAGTAAACATAATGTCATATCTAAGGTAGCACGGAAGCATGTAATCAAGCCAAAAAAGCAAGGGGGATTGGGCATATTAGACCTGAGACAACAGATGAAGGCGTTGCAAACGAAGTGGGTTTTGAAGCTTATCACCCATCCTCAGCTACCTTGGGCTTCTCTCGCATTAGAACACATTAAAAGACTGGTTAAGTACAAAACACTGGTTAACATGACAAGGCTGTTTTGGGTGATGAGCAAAGGCTGGGCAAGGAAGAGTAGGAGCAAAGGCGAACGGACACCTGGGGCAATGGACAAGAGCGATCACTCTTATTGGGCACAACTGCTCAAGCTCTAGGGGGCCATTTTCCCAGCAAGAGTAAGAGAACCTAGGAACAGAGAGGAAGTTCTCCATCAACCACTGTTCTGCAATCCTTGGATTAAGGATCATCGGGGGAAGCCGCGTACCCTGACAGCAAGAGATTCTAAATGGGGAACATGGGTGGAACATGGAGTCTGGCAGGTTAGACATTTATGGTCAGACGACAAGCAGCGATGGAAGACGACAAGAGATCTTCGGAACGAGATGAAGGGTACCCACAAATTGCTAGAGAATCTGAATGATGTTCTTATCTCCATACCACCAGTATGGGTAAACCTGCTAGAAAAGGGGTTGAATTGGGTAAACGGTGACTGGGCCACGTGGTTGAATGAGGACAAACCGGAAGTTGCATTTAGAATAAGGGGTAAGACGGGCCCAGGGGATGAATGGTTATTGGCTGATATGTTATCAATAGAAGAAGTAGGGACTACCATCAGTCAATTGGATAAGACATCTATCTCCCCGATTACAATCTTAAAAAAAGCAGTACGTAAGGTCGGAGTGATTTATGCTCCAACTACGGCTCTAGAGATTTAGAAGTAGACCCGACAGAATGGGCATGGAATCTCAAGGGAGTTTTTCTGAGGGTTGCCAGAAGAGTAAACATACTTCACTATACAACCAAATTGGGGTACAGGCTCAGAAGGAGGTCTCACCCACTAACAGAAACACTGGCTAATCGATGGGAACGGAGGTTGGAAGTACCCAAGGTGCAAGTCTCTTGTCTTGGTTAGCATTGAGTAGTATAAGGTTAGGCAGGGTCAAGAGTTTACAATGGCTGATTTTCCACGTAGCACTCCCGGTCAATGTTTGGCTGTATGAGCGTCGAGGCCACAATAAGAGAGATCAGATCAACTAGAAGTGCAATCTGTGTACTGATGAAGAGATGGAAACCCTGCTTCCTAGCCTGCTGCAATGCCCAATGGCGGTCTACGTGTGGGAAGTAGCCAGGGAACTCTGGTGAAAAATTTCAGATGAGGTCTTTCCGAAAGACAGGAGGATCCTCCTCACCGGTATGGATCTTCCAAAGAATTGGCAATTGGGACAAAAAAGAGGACTTATTGAGACAATATACATTATGGACCATATGAAAAAGAAGATGTCAGATGACGATAGGAAGGGGGCAAATACACAGACTGGAGGCCAGGAAAGTTCTACAGAACCTGTTGGAGAGGGATATCACGGCCCGATGGCACAGAGCAAGAAGGCAAGCCCAACAAAACCCGGAGAAAGCCCGGGAGACATTAAAAACGTTTCAAAGGGTTACGTTGGTAAAGGGTAAGATAGCAACAATCGAAGGATCCAAAGTAGTCCTCCACTGGTTTGAGAATACGGAGCAACGTCAGCAAGAATAGTGTGCTAGATTCGTTGAGGTAGTACATCAACATTATGACAACATTACATCTGAGGGTTTAGGGTTCAAGGTTTAAGGTTTAGGCAGGAGCAATGCAAACAGGGATTGGGGTGTCAAACATTTCAAGCGGGGTCCTGGGAGACTCCAGTTAAAACACAATTATCTGGCAGTTCATTACTGAGAGGAGTCCGACTGGGATCACAAGGATGATGAAAGGAGTAAAAACTCAGGCTTACTTAACTAGGGGTGAGGGATGGTACATCCTTCCTTACGAAAGTAATCAATGCCATCTACTCGGGCCTCCCAGCCATAATGGGAAGGAGCGTGCGTGAGTTTCTTATGTATCTATTATCAACTTGGCGGGGGAAAAGGAACCGGACTATTGCTCCCCAGAATGGTGGGAGCCAAAGCCAAAAGGTTCTGTTAACAAGAAGAAGAAGAAGAAGAAGAAGAAGAAGAAGAGGAAGAAGCGACCGTGATGTGTGTATACACGCTGGGGAGAGAGAGAGAGAGAGAGAGAGAGAGAGAGAGAGAGAGAGCAAAGAGCCCTTTCAAATTATTCAAACAACCCCTGCTGGTACTTCAAATGGTCCCTGCCAAAATTTGACAAGGGTCCCGTCGGCAGGAGAAGGGTAGTTACTGGACTTGTAGTAACGAGGGAACAGGCCAGCTATATACGGTGTAGCTTCGAATTCAGGTCCGTGTTTCAGCAGTTATGGGTTACTGACTTACTAACTCGGCATGTGATTTTCAGGGCTTCACTCCACCAGTCCCCATCCCCGTGTGCCATAACAGCCCACTTCTACGCTGTGAGAAAGAGGCAACGTGAAGGGGGAGGGGATAAACATAGGGAGGAGAGAGGGAGAGCAGACAAACAAAGAACGATAAAGGGAAAGTAAGGGAAAGTATGGAGTGTGGAGTGAAGATGAAGGCAAAAGAGGATAAGAAAAGGCTCAAGAATGAGTTTGTCCTTGACGACAGAGATGACATACATTGTAAGGATGAGGTGGATGAACACATGGAAGACCTAGCTGAGCATTCTCAGTGCAACAATTGCCACGATGGCTGGCATTGAGCATGTCCACCATACAACCTCGACAAATGGCATGTCGATTGCACGCCAAAATGAAAGAAGAACGGTCACGACAAAAGAGCATGCATTCAATATAGCGCCCATGGCCGCAAAATGGACATATAGTGTCCGGATGCGGAGGGTGCCTGTAGTCAGGAACGGTGGGACAGTCCTCTGCACACATGGATGCAGAAACCATGTCATTGTAGTGATTGTGACAGAGACGATGGCGGCTACAGCCGAGTGTAACAGTGTTTGTGGTTGTGCAAAGGAGAAGGGCACAGAGTGTTGGTGCATTGTCTTGCTGCAGCACGGGGCCAGAGGAATGATCTTCGACGTAAAAGAGATTGCGGACGGTTTGTTGTGGCAAGAAAACAACAACATTTTGTAAGAAATCAGTGACATCAATCATAGCATGGGCCATGGTGCCGTTGTCCCACAGCTCCCAGTGGTCAGAGGCATGCACAATGGCCATGTAACGGCCAGGGCCGTGCACAATGTAGGCAGAGATGTGGGATGGAGGATTAAACCACTCACCTGCTCCAGCATTGCGTAGTTCAAGTTGACGGTCCCTCATTGCTACTTGTAGGACAGCAATGGTAAAGCCTCCTTCGCTGGTATAATTACAATCCTTTGGCTGTCGTTGGGGAAGATCAGCATCAAGCTGAAGGGTGATTGCAATGAAATTTGATGGTGTATAAAACGGGCGGTGGAGAATGCGAAGACAGATATTAGTTGCTGTCAGACCACAGAGATTGGTGAGCTTCTCAGGCTGGTTTGTTGGATGCTGGCCAACAATTCGTAGATCACCCAGATGGTGTTGCAAGCCCAATCTGTGTTGGGTTGTTTGCTGGTCAGTCATTTGCAGATCACCCATATGGTCTGCGCGTGGCGGAGCACAAAATTGTCGTTCATCCGAACAATGCTGGTCAGCCATTTGCAGATCCCCCATGTGGTCTATGCCTTGTGGGGTCAACCGCAATCCGAGCAGATCATGTTTCAATTCCTCAACGTTTAGGGCTGCATCCTGAGTAGGGACTCCACCTGGAGTCGGGAGTAGGGACTCCACCTGGAGTCGGGAGTGTGTATA